CAATCCCAGGCTCTGGGTTCGACAATCCCAGGCTCTGGGTCCAAGAAATGAAGAGGAAGGAGAAAGGGGACGAGGAAGGAGAAATAATTTTTAAAATTTTTATTGCCATGTCACTAGTTTTTGCCATGTTGTCTTTCACATGTAGTAAACTTTTGACATGTCATCATCTTACCGTGAATTAACAGTACAGGTGGAGAGGTGTTTAACAGAGGACCAAATTGGGGTAAAAATGGTAAACAGTAGGGACCAAATCAGAGATTTTTTGAGTTCAGGGATCAAATCAGGGGTCCGTACAATAGTTGAGGGACCAAAAAAGGGTTTTAACCAAAATTGAAAAGAAGTGTTTGTTCCCAATAGACATCTTACCCTATAAATATGAAGTTATCTCTTCTTCTTTAGAGAGTCTTTTTGAACCCAAAAATATCTAAATAAAACAGTCTGTTTTTGTATTACAATTGCTTGAGAAATCCCTATACAAAAACTATTATTTTGTTACTTTCCAGATGATGGTTCAGTGGTTGATCTTGCTAGTGCAATGCTAAATCAACAAGGCACTTCATTTTGAGTTACTTTTTCTGCATACCAGATTTAGTGGGGGCGAAACTAATTTAAAAAAAAGTGATATTTGCAGCACGTCTTGAAACCAATGATTTAATGATTTATTTTCTAACGCCCTATTTCCCCAACAGAATGTATCCTCAAACTTGTAGTATTCCCTCCTCTTCTTATGCCGGAGCCATACAAACCCTGTGTCCTTTACGTACCCGCACTCTTCTACGTCCTCCACCGTGAGCAGGCTGTCCGGTAACCCCATTTGCGCCAACAACAACGTGAACTTCTCCCTGCATGTTTCGTCCCCGTAATAAACCTCTGCTTTTGCCTTGGTTGCTTCTGTCACCAGCGACATTTTTCTCTTCCTCGTGAGATGTTTTACGCGTTCATATAGGCTGCAAAGTTGGACAAATTATCTCTAATTTGGGTTTCTGATGGAGCAAACCGTTTTATATTGGTTGCTTTGGAACTTCGTGGCTATTGGGACTTGAGGTGGACGAGATAAATTAGTTTATTTTGAAGGAATACGGAATAGATATTTTATTTTATAATTAAAAATTGATGAGTGATGGATTCTTGATAATGTGCTTTTTTTTTTATTTATAATTAGATTATTTATTTATAATATGTATTCATTCATTTAAAAACATGTAACACTATTTTAATGATATATCATAATTATAAATTTATAATTTTATAAGGTATTATAAATTTATAAGTTCTCTTTGATATTGTAATTTTATCATTGCTGTTACTAAAAAAGACTCTGTATCATGTCTAGCACAAAGTTACGATCATTCCATGCTGTTGAGGCTGTGACAAGCTTGCACATACTTTACGGATATTTTGAAGAAATGAAGATGGCGGGAACCAAACTTCATGAAACTGACTTAGTTCAGTTTATTTTAAGGTTTTTTGTTGTATTTTAAATTTAGTTTGTCTTTAAGCGTAGTTTTTTTTTTTTTTTTGAAAATAGGTAATGGACTTTAAGTGTAGTTGGTGAAAAGTAAGCACTTGGTCAAGACAAGGTAGCAAATGTTAATGGAAGGCTGTTTTGTTCACATGTCTGCTACTTTTTGCTTTTATCTGTTGTACCAGACTTGTACATATTTCAACCTTCAATGAAAGACTTCAGTTGTTCTGCTCTCTATTTTCTTTGTTTTTCTTCAAAGTTAAACCATTTACACATGCAATATATGGAACTGCCTAACGTGTTCACTCAAAAGGCTCAAGTAGTTACTTCCATCTTCAAAATGGACCTGCCTTTCACAAAGATTGAAGTTTCACCGTACATGAAGAACCTCTGAACCTGACTCAGTTCATGATTAGTGGTGGTGTAACTGTTTTAGTATATTAATGTCTGGTAAAGAAATGCAGAGTGATATTTCATTTCCCAGATTTGATATCGGCTTTGATAACCTATACAGGGAACTAACACTGAAAGAGATTGGTGTTTTGGACGCTATGAGTATGAGATGGAAGGTCTGCAAGATCCGCTAGAAAAAAAAAAAAAAGTCTAAAAATGTTGTTTCTGAGTTGGTTCTTCAGCCTATTGAAATCTTTATCTGATTGCTTGTCCAGATTTTCATTTTCTGACCATTGAAAGATATTTTTTTTACATTGGAAGGTTTACTATTTAACTTAAGCAAGATCTGAAGTTTGAGTCTTGTGGATAGAGAAATAGACGTTGGGAGAGTTTTCACTTAGGAGGTCAACGCGACTTGATTCCAAATCAATTGAGATGTAATATAATTACCGGATATCCGGGGCTGTCAGATTGCTATTTTTCTCTTATTAAGGTTTCTCAATGGGAAGCAGAAATTATGTTTATATCTATTAATAAACTACATTGGACCCACAATTAATGGGAATCTCCTCCTTCAGTGATTAATGATTCCATGTGTTTTTGAGATTGTTATTTTCCTCCACTTAATCGGTATCTGATTCCATGACCCATGTGTTTCTGTACCTTATATTTTTCTGGTGTTTGATGAAGTTGAATGTTGTTTTGGGTTGGGTACAAGTGTCCCGCAGCAGGATGTTGAATTTTGTTCTCCAGACTTTAACTGAAAGGTGCTTGCCAATCAATGACTACCGTTTAGTTTAGTCAACTTTAGTGGGTGATTGATTATAAGTCTAATACATGTGATCCGTGCCCTTGTGAAATAAACTGGCTTATCCTCTTCTTCTTGTTCAGATGTTAGATTGACACCACACAACACCGATTTATACACAGTGGATTGCAAGTCTTGGGACAAAGAATGGAACCATAGTTCATGTCAGAGGAATTCTCATGGATCTCTTGATGACATGTGTCTTTGTTGGGTACTTGGTTGCGTGCATTACAGCAATCCAAGCCAGCCAGCTATCTCAGGAATCTGACAGGGTGATTAATCTGCCAGGCCAACCTCCAAGCCCGTCTAATATCTCTCACTTCTCAGGGTATATCACTGTCAATGAAGAGAATGGAAGGGCTCTTTTCTACTGGTTTTTTGAAGCTCAATCTCAACCATCAAAGAAGCCCCTCCTCCTCTGGCTTAATGGAGGTTCTATAAATGGATATATGAGTTGGTTTAGTTATCTTGTTTGTTTTTCTAGCGTTTCGAGCATGATCTAATTGGTTGACTCTGTTTTTGCTTTTAAAGGACCTGGTTGTTCATCAATAGGGTACGGTGCAGCTGTGGAGCTAGGTCCTCTTAGAGTTGGAAAAAATGGAGTTAGCCTTCACTTCAATAAATATGCTTGGAATAAAGGTTTTATATTACTTTCCTTCATCTACCTTAATTTTCTTCAGTACAATTCAATCAACTGACCTTGATAATAGGTTGTTAAGGTTAATAATGAATGAACTTTTCTTGCAGAAGCCAATCTTCTATTTGTAGAATCCCCGGTTGGAGTCGGGTTTTCTTACACCAATACATCTTCTGATCTTAATAAGTTGAATGATGGATTTGTGGGTAATTAACCATTTGCACATGATATTTTGTCTTTTTGTTTATGATAAGGTTGAAAATTTACGGTTTCATTTCGACTTAGCTGAGGATGCCTACAATTTCCTGTTGAACTGGCTTCAGAGATATCCACAGTTCAAAACCCAAGACTTCTTCATATCAGGAGAGAGTTACGCAGGTAGTAAGTTTTGGAGTTCTATTCCTCCCTTTCACATCGATGTATTGTAAATGCCCTCTGAATCATTCTTTTATCTTGCAGGTCACTACGTGCCACAACTAGCAGAACTTATCTATGATCGAAGCAAGGACAGAACTAAATATCCATTAATTAATCTCAAAGGTTTTATAGTAAGTAATCATCCACGTTTATTGTGTATAGACAACTCAATGATCAGTGCCATTAGAATGTACACATTATCTTGTTTATTTGGCCATTAACATAATGTGAGGAGACAACATGCATGCTGCAGGTAGGAAATCCATCAGTTGATGATTACTATGATAACAATGGTTTGCTAGAATATGCTTGGACCCATTCTGTGATACCAGACCATCTCTACCTCAAAGCCAAAGAAGTGTGTGATTTCAGATTAGCTAACTGGTCTGACAAGTGCAACAATGCCATGGACAAAGTGTTTGATGAATATAATGAGATTGACATGTATAACATCTATGCTCCTAAATGTCTTATTAACAGCTCATCTTCATTTGCTAATATCAGTGGCCAAAGTGTTGAAGCATTAGGCAAGGTGATTATCAAAATATGGTGGCAACAGAAACGAATTTCTTAGTGATAAATTATGATTTAATACAGCTAACTGATAGATTTTGACTTGGTAGAAAGTGCCCTTTATTGCAGCTAAATTATTATGGATTAAGAAGGATGAGAATCCTGGGTGGTTATGATCCCTGTTACTCTGTACACACAGAACAGTATTTCAACAGGGAAGATGTTCGAACATCTCTTCATGCAACTGTCAAAGAAGTAAAATGGAAGACTTGCAAGTAAGTAATGGAAGCATTGCTTTATCCAATTCTTGAAATTTCTTCATGCTATTTGCTCTTCTTGTTCCTTCTCCTTTTGTAACATAGATGTTTTCCATTTCCAGTGATTCCATCGGGGGGAAATATATTTTTAATGTTTCTTCTATCCTTCCTATCTACAATAAGCTCATCAAAGGTGGCCTCAAGATATGGATTTATAGGTAGGTTACCTTTTCTATGCTGCGGTATTTTCTGCACTTAAACTAACCTTCTCCTTCTTAGATTGTTGAATTGGGGTTGTACAAACATCAATAATACAACAGTGCAAGAATAAAAGATAAAGTATCGTATAACTTTCATGGTTGCCTTTTGTTTGTGAAGATTGATCTTGGTTCTTCTTTGCAACAGTGGGGATGCAGATGGCAGAGTACCCTTCATTGGTTCACGAGACAGCATTCAAACTCTTCAACTTCCTGTCATTTCTCCT